GGTACCCTACATTACTCATTTTTCTCTAATTATATATTTAGGACAATTAATATTGTGTCCTATATGCTGGTAACAAAAATGACATATTATAGTAAATTTGGCAAAAAATGAGTTTTAAACTACTTACAAGTTGTCTAACCATTTTATACCCTTTACCATAACATGGAGTAAATATTGAGTTTGTGGAGAAAATTCACAGATGATTTTGTGCGTCCATCTATTGCCAAAAATGCTAAAAGTTTGAAAAAAAAGTAATTTTGAGCAGGAAGATCAAGTTGCACGTGACAATTGCCCCATTTTCGCATCCACCAGTGCAAAATCCATCTTACAATGGCAACTTTTCCTGACTATGTAATTGTTATACCTTAAATATGTAATTTCGTTCTCAACACCACGAAGTATGCCTTGGAGACGCCGTATATATTCTTGATGAGAATTCATGCACGTTCTTCTATTGAAATCACAATAGAGGTCGCAATATTTAAGATAGAACTTTGAACATACTTTACTGCTACTCCTAGGATGGTTGGTATTAAAAATGGTCCAATTTCATGACCTTTTGACCTTTTCCAGCAGGATGTTAAAAAGGTCACACGAGAGGCTGCCATCTTGTCTCAAACCTCGTTTGGCATTGAACGGCTCCGAGATGTCCTTTCCGATTTTAACTGCTGACCAAATGTCATTTAAAATTATCCTCCATAGCCGTATTAATTTTACAGGAATGCCGAACGCAGACATGACTTTAAAACCCTCTGAACGGAAAGGGCTGTCGAATGCGGCATTATAGTCGACGAACAGGTGGAATGTGTCGATATGGGTCTTTTTCAGGATTTGGCGCAGTGTGAAAATGTAGCCGATTGTGGATTTGCCAGGTTTGAAGCCGCATTCATATGACGATAATGTCATGATAATTGGCTTCAGTCGTTCATACAGTTGGCATATATCGGTACCGACAATTTTTCGGTATTTTGAAGGCTTTAGCTCGATTTTCCTATTGATGTGGTAGTAATTTGTTACAAAGGGGTTTTGAAGGCAGACAAACATAACGCCGGTAAGACTGCATTTTGCCAGGACATTTTTAGGTCCTGCCCCACGATACAGGCCACAGTTATCTTCACGAAATTTTGCATGTAGGATGGGTTCTGGTTAATGAAGACCCCTATTGTTTTTGGTGAAGATCGGTTAATATTTAGGGGATGAAATGGGCCAAATACATAATTTTTATCTGTTTTTCTGGTCACTCCAGAGGCCGCAATTTTGGCCCCAACATCACGAATTTTTACATGGAAGAATAAGCATGCCTGTTTTCAATATTTAGCGGGTCAAATGGACCTTGACTTTTGTGTGAAAAATTACAAAATTTGTATTTTTTGGCGTATATATTTCCTCCTGAAGAACATAGACCCGAGAAGTTGAAAGGATATCCAAGAGGAGTGGTTGGGCTTTAAATTGATACCAATTATATTGACCTATGTACTCGGATGTGGAAGTTAGACTTAAATACGTTACAGGTGCTAACGTATTCAGATATTATTTAACCCATTACCACACTGGATGACGGAAATATAACGATGATCGCTTTGAAATGTTCCATGAAGTTCCAGTTATGGTGAAGGACAACGCCAATAATTTTCGGCGATGATCAGATAATAATTTTGAAGTGGACCGTCGACTTAATTTTTTGTGTTTTTTCGAGTCGATATGTAGGCCACAATTGAAAGCCGTACATCACAACACAACCCACGGTGTGTGGAATATGGACAAGTAATTAGAAGGACTGAACAGAATATTAGGAAAATATGTCAGTGTAAGGAACAGGGGGTAGATATCACGAAATATTGCCGCAGAATGTTACAATTCCGTGGCAGTTTTGTAGGGTATCGTATGGTCGGCCCCGTCCGACTATACTGCTCCGCTCACTGGTTTAGGTTATATTTCCATATAAAAACCAGTAAGGAAAGTACTAAAGTCGGACTGGGCCGACTATATGATACCCTTCACCACTTTGGATATATTGTACATATGTATTCTAACAGTTTCATGTCAATGTTCCCTCGAAGGAACATTGAAATGAAATTGAACGAACTTAAATATGCGATCTTTATCCTAAGTAAACCGACTAAACTCAATTCCAACACATGCCATTCTGCAACCTATTCTTAACTTTGTAAATATATTTTAAGCGAAATTTACACACTCTATTTGGTATGATTCACTGTTTAAAATGTTACATCAATCATACACACATTGATTATTTGGTGTACAATCAATATAAATAGGTCGAAATTATATATCGAAGCTATGCTATGTATGTAAGTCTGAACTGACTTCAAGGCTACTTGCAGAGATTAATTTCAGTACGTTTTGTCAATAGGCTTAGTCTTTAGTGCACCACTTACTTAAAATCAGACGAAAGTATATATTGGTGCCCCATTTACCTTAAATAGGATGAAAATATATATGGGAGCTATATCTAAATCTGAACCGATTTCGTTGAAACTTGGCACACACCATTCTGGACCTAATTCAGTATACTATTCAACATGTCGTGCAAATCGAAAGGTACTTTGGTGCGCCATTTACCTTAAATCGGATGAAATTATATATATGGGAGCTATATCTAAATTTGAACCGATTTCCTCAAAACTTGGCACACATCATTTTGGACCTAATTCAATACTCTGTGCCAAATTTCGTGCAAATCGAGAGATATATAGGGGCTTTGGTGCCCCATTTACCTTAAATCGGATGAAAATATATATGGGAGCTATATCTAAATCTGAACCGATTTTCTCGAAACTTGGCACACATCATTCTGGACCTAATTCAGCTCTATGCCAAATTTCGTGCAAATCGAATGGTATATAGGGACTTTGGTGCCCCATTTGCCTGAAATCGAATGAAAATATATATGGGAGCTATATCTAAATCTGAACCGATTTTCTCGAAACTTGGCACACATCATTCTGGACCTAATTCAGTACTCTGTGCCAAATTTCGTGCAAATCGAGAGATATATAGGGACTTTGGTGCCCCATTTACCTTAAATCGGATGAAAATATATATGGGAGCTATATCTAAATCTGAACCGATTTTCTCGAAACTTGGCACACATCATTCTGGACCTAATTCAGCTCTATGCCAAATTTCGTGCAAATCGAATGGTATATAGGGACTTTGGTGCCCCATTTGCCTGAAATCGAATGAAAATATATATGGTAGCTATATCTAAATCTGAACCGATTTTCTCGAAACTTGGCACACATCATTCTGGACCTAATTCAGTACTCTATGCCTAATTTCATGCAAATTGAATGATATATAGGGACTTTGGTGCACCATTTACCTTAAATCGGACGAAACTATATATGGGAGCTATATCTAAATTTGAACCGATTTTCTCGAAACTTGGCACACATCATTTTGGACCTAATTCAGTACTCTGTGCCAAATTTCGTGCAAATCGAAAGATATATAGGTACTTTGGTGCGCCATTTACATTAAATCGGACGAAAATATATATGAGAGCTATATCTAAATTTGAACCGATTTTCTCGAAACTTGGCACACATCATTTTGGACCTAATTCAGTACTCTGTGCCAAATTTCGTGCAAATCGAAAGATATATAGGGACTTTGGTACCCCATTTACCTTAAATCGGATGGTAGCTATATCTAAATCTGAACCGATCTTTCCCAATTTCAATATGGTTCGTCCTTGGGCCAAATAAGTGACTTGTGCCAAATTTCATCTAAATCGGATCATAAATGTGATTCTATGCATATTCTCAAAAGGAACCATGTGTATATCTCGTTTCCTTTTGCCTATTACAAACATATGCACAAAGACATAATACCCTGTACCACAGTGTGGTGAAGGATATAATGACATGAATGGACACATTAACAAATATATGTAGATTGATTCAGTTCGTCGAAACATTTTAGAACATTTTCAATAAGGGACTACGTTATATTTCAAGGTGCAATTCAATTTTTTGTGTTTGAAAACTTATTTGGGGAAAATTCTACTTTTTCTCTATATTACGGCACGGGTCCATTTTCGATATTTTGAAGTTTTTAACTGCATATTCCATATTGTTTCAATCTGATAGTATAACCATCGCATTTAATTCTATGACACAAATTTAAAATATCATTATGAATTAAAAAATAATATATGAAAAACAAAAAAATTCTTTACAGTTCTTTCCAACCATAACAAATACACTGGATTAATGAACTTTTGATACGTTTAATTGGCAACATAGAAACCATATGTGACCTATATATGCAAATAGTTTTATATACAAATGAACATGCTCTCTACTTGGTATGTAAATAAAATAATGGTTGTATGAATGAATGGATCATTATGGCGATGGTTCATTGATATTTATGTGCGCGTACTATTACAATTTCCGTCCATCAAGTGAGCGTTGTGTGTGAAGTGAAAATTCTGAAAAAAATGTCGAAATAAATAACCGACCGGACGATAACGAAAAGAGAAGACTTGTGTGCGTTTGTGATTGATCATCAGCAAAAAAATTTAATAGCACTATCAACATCAGCATCGCTGTACGACGACGTCATTACCACCAACTGCAAAACATAGAACATCTGGTCATGACACCAATGCTGAACTTACAAATTTGTTCATCAGTTTAATGCTCTACAAGACGAAAAACCAGCTCCGAGTAATTTAAGCAGCTATATTCGACACCAAATGATATAAAACCTTCACCAATCTGGATTTGTCTACAAGTTCTGGTTTCCTAAAAATTCTGTTTTGTGTATTCTCTTTTTTCGATTTAAAGAACAACGGGCTTTTATTGCCCTGTCTGTGTTCTTATGAACGGCCATTTGCACTTGTCTACCGCGCTAACATCATCATCATCATCAACATTGGCTTTAACAAAGTTTCAACATAAGTCCCCAACTCGACTTTATTGTCGAAACTGAAAAGAGAGAGTGAGAGGGAGAGAACGAACGAATGAAAAACATGTATTCTGCTGGTAATTAACCCATTAATTTTATTCCAAACGGCTTTGAATGTAAAATATATTTAATTTTATGCGTATAACTGTTTTTTGGAACTGTGTTTTTTATTTATAAATATAAATTTATTTAAATGTATTTGTCTTTTGTTAAAATAGTGTTTGTTGTTTTCCTCATTAGCATCACATTGTCATCATAATGGAACTTTTAAATACATTTATTTCATGTTTTTTATTCTGAACGCAACATAATATTAATGAAATGTGATTAATGTCAAATTTTGAAGTTTTGAAATTATAAAAAAATGGTTAGTAACAATAATACCTAAGAACAAATAGGGTCATAACAAAATGTTTGATAATGTTTTTATTTGCAGCTTAGGATTATTTAATTAAACTACTATGATATATTAAGATCTATAGAACATTTGAAATGTTTTTCATACATCCTTCATTATATACATACAATATTATAAAAAATGAAAAAAAACAAGTGAAAAAGCATTAAGTTCGGCCGGGCCGAACTTTGGATACCCTCCACCATAAATATACTGACAGGTACTAGAAATGAAAATATAGGGAACATGCCAAAAAGTGGACCTATACCGACATTTCTAAAAACAGACTATGTAAACCATAATACAAATTTCAGACATTTTAAATGGATAATTATACCCTCAGCCTTCTGCCTAATGAGGGTGTATACACTGCCACATCGAAATATTGGTTCTAGATCCCATGTTTCTTTGGACCAAATCGGTTTCAACAAATTTAGATTTCATTCAAACATTGCCCATCTTAAATGCGGGCTAAAGTTCATTCTCGAACCTTACGTTCTACTTTTTTATTTCGATATCCTCTGCAGGTGAAATGATTACATAAATGTATTAGAACCAAACTCAAAACGCGGAACAAATCATATAACTATTTTAATATAAACAAGTGAAAACGCGTTAAGTTCGGCCGGGCCGAACTTTGGATATACTCCACCATATTTATACTGACAGGTATTTGAAATGAAAATATAGGGAACATACCAAAACATGGACCTATACAGACATTTCTACAAACAGATTATGTAAACCTCAATGTACACCAAGTACATTATGGTGGAAGCTGCTGTTTCAATATGAAAATTGGTATTGCAGAAAATGAGTACGTCGCTGGAGGCTATCCTAGCGGGGCCAATGTTGATTACATCGTGTAGGAATTACCGAACATTTGTAGTTATCATTATATAAGGTGCTATGACTAATTGAGCACTGATATGCATCTACTTCGAAATTAACATCTACAACTACTTCGAAACTAACATTTTTGCATCAGAATACATTTCTTTACGCTAAATATTAAAAATAACGAACATATGTAGATATCATTATATGGGGGCTAGGCCTAAATGCGGGCTAAAGTTCATATAAAGCTCATTATCTAACATTAAGTTCTAGTTTTTTTTTATCTCGTTATCCTTCAGAGGTGAAATGATTACAACAGAATCTTAGAACAAAACCCAAAACGCGGAACAAATCAGATATCTATTTTAATATAAACCAGTAAGGAAAGTAGTGAAGTCCGACTGGGCCGACTATATGAAACCCTTCACCACTTTGGGTATATTCTACATATGTATCCTAACAGACGCGCTTTTGTTATATATCTATATCTGTAATGATTTCAGGGAAACTTGCCAGAGACTAATCTATATTTCTTCAATACGTTGTGCCAATCTAGACCTAATTCAGTGCCCTATACCAAAATGCACCAATTACATAAAATCGGATGAAAATATATATGGGGACTATATAAAAATCTGAACCGATTTTCACGAAACTTAGCACACGTCATTCTACCCTTAATTCAATACGCCTAGACAAATTTAGTGCAAATCGAATGATTTACCTTAAATCGGAAAATATATATATGGGAGCTAAATCTAAATCTGAACCGATATTCACGAAACTTTGCACACATCATTCTAGGTAATTTGGTACGCTATGCTAAATTTCGTGCACATCGAAAGATATATAGGGACTTTGGTACACAATATACCTTAAATCGGACGAAACTATATATGGGAGCTATATCTAAATCTGAACCGATTTGTCCCAATTTCAAATTTCAAAATTTAGCGAATTAAGTTGCAAATCGTGCTCTAGAACCTCAAAATACCGAAAATTTGGGGTGCCCTTATATAGGGGCTACCAAAAAAAAGGGGGCCGATATTTATAATTTTTAGTAGAGATATTTGGTACCCTTATATGGGGGATATCGGACAAAATTTACCTAAATTTATAATTTTTTGTGGATAGATTTGGTACCTATTAGGAACTCAAAATATTAAATTACAGCCAATTCGGTGGAAAATACAATAAAAACCCAAAATACTGAAAATCAGGAGGTCCCGTAATATGGGGGCTACCAGAAAAAGTGGACTTATATTTATAATTTTTTTGTGGATACATTTAGTACCCAATGTACCAAATTTCAGCGTATTCGGTTGAAAAACGCGCTCAAGAACCCCAAAGTACCGAAACTTGGGGGTACTGTTATATGTGAGCTATACCTAAACGTGGACCGATATATCCCATCTTCGAACTTGACCTGCCTGCAGACAAAAGACAAACCTATGCAAAATTTCAGCACCCTATCTCAATTCCTTCAAAAGATAGCGTGATTACAACAGACGGACGGACAAACGGACGAACATGACTAGATCGTCTTAGAATTTTATCCTGATCAAGAATATATACGCTTTATAGGGTCGGAAATGAGTTATAAACGGAAAAAACAAAATTAATATACCCTCCAAAAAGGGGATTATATGGGGATTATATGGGGACGACCCCAAAAAGGGGGCGAAAAAAAAATTGCCATCACACCGGGTGAAAAATGCGACAAAGGCCATCAACGTATGGGGACTATGTCAAAACTTGGACCAAAATTGTACATTTTCTGCAAAGCAGTTGTTCAATTATGCGAGCCCTGTTGTGATTTCAAAAACGATATCCACTTTTTCGGATAGTTTCTTTATAAGATTACCTCAATTTTTCGGCATTTTGGAGGTTTTTGAGTGCGTTTTCTATCGAATTTACTGTAATTTACAACATTCGATTTTTATTGTGTACTAAAACTATGCACTAAAAACTATAAATGTAGGTCCACTTTTTCGAGTAGCCCCCATATAACAAATTTTGGTATTAATTTAATAAGTTTTGCAAACATTTCTAGAAAATCCATATTTATATTAGAATCTAAATTTCAAAATAATCGACACAAATGTTTCTATCCATGAGTGTCAAATGTGATCTTTACTTAGTTTCTCCTATATCCCGCATAACATTTAGACTTTTGGAAATATGTACGCATTTCATACCAGTTGTTACCTGAAATTAAATTAAATTAACCATTGATGTCATTATGCACACATATGGGTGTCAATCAATGTCTTTATAATTATAAACATAAATCCATTTCAATTATTCATTACTCTGATTGAATTTAGTCGTTTTTTTCATTTTACTTTCCATTAAAATATTTGTTTGTTCATTTGCATGCCGAAACGTTCCAACCTTGCGTCTGTCATTTATGAACTTATAAATATATTGGAAAAATGTGTGCGCAGTTTATTTTATTCTTAATTTTTGTATACAAAAAAATATTTTATATCCAATAAAGCAATCAAATGTTGGCACGTAATTATTATTTGTTATTATTCTTTAAGATGTTGCATTTGAATTTAATGATTCATCTTATGAAGAAGATAAAATCACGAAAAGTTGCTAGTTTATGAAAGGTTGATCTTTAAGCTGAAATATTTTATTGATGTACGAGGTCCGACAAGGGAGATATGCTAAAATTTTTTAATTTTCTCCATATTCTAATATTGTATAATTTAACCACACGAGAGAATGAAAATTTTGCTAGGATGTTAAGGTTTATTGTAGGTTATCAAAGGGTTGGTCACTCCAAATATTCTGCTTCTCTTACTTGTGTCCAATCTTTTAATTGTGAGTTTTGGCGAGTTTTCTCGCATTTTCGGAAGTGATTTACACATTTCGTCTGTCTCTTGTAATCTAAGCGAAATGAGATAGATAGACAAAATTTAGCATATAGTTGTCATTCGTCTGCAGGCAGGATAAGTTCGAAGATGGGCGATATCTTTAAGGCGTAGCTCCCATATAATAGTACCCCCCAATTATTAGTATTTTGAGGTTCTTGAGCGCATTTTCAATGATTTCGCTAAAAATTTGGCATATTGGGTTATTATTGAGTACCAAAAATATCAATATATGCCCTTTTTTGGGTTAGCTAAAAAACAAAGGTACCCTCAACATTTTTTTGAGTTCGTTTTTTAACCGAATTCGCTGAAAATCTCAAACCAAATCTCTACAATGAAAATTATCATTATTATTATTAAAGGTACACCCTAAAGTATGCGGTTCTTGAGGATTTTGGGCAAGTTTTCCATCAAATTTACTGTAATTTGGAATGTTGGGTACTAATTGGGCACCAAATCTTCCCGCTAAAAGTATTGGTTCAATTTTTTGGGTAGCCACCATATAACGGCACCCTAAATTTTAGGTATTTTCTTAATGTTTTGAGCTTCTGTGGAAGGCTGGAGGTATTCTTCTTCCTATAGGAGAGCTTGAGGCATTCTTCTTCCTGTGAAATGCTGCAGAAATTCCTCTTCCTTTGGAAGAGTTGCTAGTATTCTTCTACCTGTGGAAGCGCTGCACAAATTCGTCTTCTGTGGAAACGCTGCAGGTCTTCTTCTTCCTGTGGAAGAGCTGCTGGTACTCTTCTTCCTATGGAAGACCTGGAGGTATTCTGTATGTAATTTTCTTCAATTGAATTCGTTGTAATTTGATATTTTGTATTCGAATTTGGTGACAAGTCTCCCTACAAAAATTTAATAATAACATTCACCTTCTGGATATCCCCCACGTGTTGGGGTTATCCCCATATGGACGTATACCACCATAGTCTGGGGAATATGCTTTACTTGAAAATGTCAGTTT